TTGTTCCCCACCAAACTGAGCTCTGTCGTCCGGGGGCTCAGCAGCTCTCCTTCCCTTTGTCCTCCAGCCTTCCCGCTTTCTGAGCAGAGCTGTTAACTTATGACCTCCCAGACGCTAAGTCGCGCTTGCTGTCGGAACACAGTCCGTCAGGCCCTTCCGCTTTTTGCAAGCCAGACTAGGGGGCTCTGCTTGGCCGGCAAGCCGCCCCTCCGCCCCGGCTCCCACCCGCCAGTCCGTGGAGCGCGCACCGCCTCGCCGCCCTTCCTACCCTCTTCCGTGGGCCTCTCGTCTGCGCTTGGCTCCGGCGACTCCGTTCTGCTAATCCTCTGGTGGTTTTCTGGGTTATTTAGGCAGGTGTAGGTGGAATCTAAGTGATCAGCAGGACGCGCAGTGAGCCCAGCGTCCTCCTACGCCGCCATCTTCCCTCTCTCTCTAGTTTTCATAAGTTTAATTGTGATGTATCTTATTGTGGATTTCTTTGGATTTATCTTATTTGACATAGCCTAAGCTTTTTAAATCTGTAGGCTTACTTCTCTTGACAAACTTGTGAAGTTTTCAGCTGTTATTTCTTTTCTTTCTTTCCACTTTATTTAGGCATGATTGATATACAAAAACCCTGCACATAATTAACGTGTATAATTTGGTGAGTTTGGACATATGTATACACTCACATTACCATCACCATAATCAAGGTAATAAACATATTGCTCACTTCTAAAAATTTCCCTATGTCCCTTTGTGTTGATTTGTTTGTCTACCTGTTTGTTTTGTGGTAAGAACACATAACGTGAGACCTGCCCTCTTAACAAATGTTTAAGTTCATAATGTCCCCTCATTTCTTCTAGTGCTTATTGAGCCCCATGCCCTTCCTCCGCCCCTTCTGGAACTCTGATGACACAAAGGTTGGATCTTTTGTTATAGTCCCACAGAGCCCCTGATGCTCTGTCCTCTTTTCTTTTCCTGTTTGTTTTCTCTCTGCTGTTCAAATTGGGTAATTTCTATGGTTCTATCTTCCGGTTCACTGATTCTTTCCTCTGTCCCCTCCATTCTCTGCTGAGTCCACCTTCTGAGCTTTTATTTAGGTTATTTTATTGTGTTTAGGACTTAAATTTCTAAAATTTCCATTGGGTTTCCTTTATATCCTCTATTGCTTTGTTGAGGCTTTCCATTTATTTCAGTTATTTCAAGTTTATTCATAATTGCTTGTTGAAGCATTTTTAATGATGGCTGTTTTCAGACTTTTGTCAGATAATTCTAACATCTGTCTCATCTTCGTGTTAGCATCTACTGATTTTTTTTTTATTCATTCAATCTGAAATCATCCTGTCTCTTGGTATAATGAGTGATTTCCTATTGAAACCTGGATATTTTTGTATTATTTAAACCTCCTGTTTAGCTGGGTTTCTTTGACACCATTTCCACAGGAGAAGGGTGGGGGGGGGTGGCAAATCCTCATTACTGACAATAGGAGCTAGAAGTCTGGGTTTCCCACTCAGCCTCTGTTGAAACCCAAGGGGGGATGTTCCTCATTACTGCTGGGTTGAGCTGAGAATCCTGGCCCCCCATGGGTCTCTATTGACACTCTCCATTACTGCTGGGAGATGGTGAAAGCCTTGACTCCCACTAGAAGTCCTTTGACACCACCCCAGTGGGGAGTGGGAGGAATACCTTATTAGTCCAAGATAGAGGTAGAATTCCAGGCTCCCTACTGCAGTGGCAGCAGGGAGGCATTAATGGCCAGCAGAGATGAAAGTCCCAGATCCCTGCTTGCCCTTCTCTGACACCACCCCAGCAGGGATGTTGGGATGCCTTGTTACAGCCTTGCAAATGTCAAAGTCTAGCTCCCTTTTACCCTTTTCTGGTATGGTTTCTGTGATGTTTAACTAGGGTAGAGCAGTAATTGTCTAAAAGTTTTCTGTCTTGCTAAGCTTCCCTTTCCCTGGTCATTGGTCTAGAGAGAGTCGGCTTTGTTGTTGGGGCTTTTTTGTTTGTCCCCATTGGTGTTTCCTAGTCACCAGCTTCTTCTGCTCTAAGTTTCTTTCTAGGACATTTTGATTCCTGTCTGAGCTTGGGTCATCTGTGCCCACATCACATGGGGCTGTTGTAACAGCACTGTGAGGTCCCCTGGAAGATCACGTGGGTACTGTCTTCCCCAAGGGGCCTCCTGAACATGGACAGAGACAACCATGGTTTACAGACAGGAACACAACATGGATAATGGGGGGCAGGGAGGCAGGGAGGCAGGGAATGAGTCATTTGTTCTTTCTTCAGGAGTGTTTTTGGTGTTTGAAGAGTGATTTTTTTCGTCATGTGTCCAACCTTTATTATTTCTTTTGTTGTTGTCATTATGAAGAGTTCACAACTATTCTAGGAAAAATGAGAAACTAATGTTGAGGAAAAAGAAGAAGCTAACCTATATCTCACCACCAGAGAAAAGAACTATTAACTTTTTGGTTTGTATCTTGTAGTCTTTTATTTTGAACATATTATATGCACATGTGTAAATATATGTGCATCTGATTTTAAAGTAAAATAGAATAACATTAAACATATTTTTTTCAGTTTTATATTTTATTTTTTAAATGTTTATTTATTTATTTTGAGAGAGAGAGCACAAGCAGGGAGAGGGGCAGAGAGAGAGAGGGAGAGAGAGAATCCCAAGCAGGTTCTGTGCTATCAGTGGGGAGCCCGACTCCAGCTAGAACCCATGAACCATGGGATCATGACCTGAGCGGAAATCAAGAGTTGGGTGCTTAACCAACTGAGCCATCCAGGCACCCTCAGTTTTATATTTTAAAGTAATTTCATACTAACAAAAAGTTGCAAGAATAGTAACAAGGAACTCCCATATTCCCTTCACCCAGATTCACCAAATGTTTCCATGTTGCCCTCTTTCTTTCATCCCTTTCTCTCGTTCTCCCAGTCTCTTTACTCTGTATTCCTAAATATTTCAGTGTCTATTTTCTAAGAACAAGAGCATTCTTTTGCATACCACAGTACAATTAACATTGTTTCAATAATATTATCCAATCTACAAACCATTGTGCAAATATTGCCAATTGTCCCAATAATATTTGTTTTTCTGGTCCAGTATTCATTCTGGAATCATAAATTGTATTTAGTTTTCATGTCTCTTTAGTTTTCTGTAATCTGGAGCCATTCCTCAGCCTTTATTTGTCTTTCCTGATTTTAACATTGTTAAACAGTACAGGCCAAGGTGTTTTACAAAATGTCCCCCAATCTGAGTTTGTCTGATCTTTCCTCCTGATCAGACTCAGATAATGCTTTTTAACAGGAATATCACCAAAGTGATATTGTGTCCCTCTCTATGCATCTTATCAAGAGGCACTTAATGATAGTTTGTTCTATTGTCGGCAATGTTAACTTTTATTTCTTGGTTAAAATGGTGTGTTCCAGGTTTCTCTTCTGTAAAGTTACTATCTTCTCTTTTGTATTAGTAGATAATTTTTGGAGTGATACTTTCAGACGATATAAATATCCTCTACCTCATCAAATATTCACCCATAAGTTTTAGCATCCATTGCCTGAATCACTTGCTACTGTGATGCTTGCAAAAAGGTTATTTTCTCATTTCAACAATGTATTTTACATCTATCAGTTGGCATTCTATTATAAGGATGTGGTTTCTTTCTACGTCCTTTTTTTCACTGAGAAATTTTAATGCCTTTTGCGATGTCACAATGCTCTTCTGGTACTAACTACCTAGAGTTTATCACAGACTCCACAGGTTAAGGGCACAGCCTCCAATGAGACTGTCCTCACTTCAGATGGGCCCGCCAGTCATCCATTATTTTGACCAACTAGCTGCAAATTTGGGAGGTTCACATGACCCCCTGAGGTTTGATCATTTGCTAGGATGACTCCCAGAATTCCAGAAGGTGCTACCCTTATGATTATGGTTGTGTTAGGAAGGCTGTAGATCAGGACCAACCAAACAAAGAGACACACAGAGTGAGATCCGGCAGCACGTCTTCCCTACAAATCTTTGATGTTATCTTCCCAGTGCCAGGTCTTACGCTGAGTTAGGCGATGGAGGCACAGGTCAGATATGGGGAGCAGACCTGCTGCCGGCTGATGAGAGGGAGGGAAGACCACCCAGGTAGAGGGAATAGCATTGCAAAGATGCAGAGGCATGTAGCGGAATTCTTTGGCATGATCAGAACATTGGTTGGAACATTATATATAATGCTGAGTGAGAGTGTTGTGGAGAATGAAGCTATGCACCGAAGTTTGCACCTTGTCCTATGGGCCCGGGAGGAGCAGAGTCTGTGAAAGGAAGTGAGGAGGGCAGTGACAGGATCATAGCTATGTGACATAAGTAGCTCTCTGCACATTATGGAGGATGGATTGCAAGGAGAGGACTCTCAGAGACTGCTGGAGATTTGTAGAAAAAAGGCAGGAGGTGATGAAGAGTACAAGCTAAGGTGGGAGCCATGGGCATGGAGAGCAGGGGTGAGTCAAGGTGAGGGTAGGTGTTCCGGGAGGGTCATCAAGGAGACCACGCTGGGGTGTGTGAGCTCTCCCCCTGGTCCTGGACCCCCTAGTTAGAAACCTTCTCATTATCATCTGTCTTAGAGGCCAGTGTGCCTCTTTTTCCCATTTTATGTAGTTGATAATTTCCCCAAACAGGATAAGCCTGAAGAAATCTACACAAAGACTCACTGTAATTAAATTTCTGAAAACCAAAGATAAAAATCTGGAAACTAGGTCAGATGCAGTATAGCTGATTTACAGAGTTAATAATAACTCCATAAGTGTGCACAGAGCAGCAAACTCTTCATTAATGTGCTATTTTTGCCAGGTTTTTGGTATCAAAGTTATGCTGGTTTCATAAAAGGAACTTGGAAGCTTTCCTTTTTTCTCTGTGCACTGAAATGCTTTAAATAGCACTGAAGTTATCGTTTCTCTAAGGATTTGGTTGAGTTCACTTATGGGGCTGGTAATTTCTTTTTTTTTTTTCTTTTTACATCTTTATTAAGATGTACCTATGAAACTGTCACCCCAATCAACATGACCTTAGATCTTACCCAAGAGACTTGTCCAGGATCATATATCAGGTGGGTGACACCCCCTCCCAAAATTTCCTTGTGCCCCTTTGCAGTCCACCCCTCCTCCACTCTTGTCCCCAGGCAACCCTGACCTGCTTTCTCCTATTATAGATTAGTTTGCATGTTCTAGAATTTATGTAAATGGAATCAAACAGTATGTACTCTTTCTCCGTTTGGCTTCCTTCACTCAGCCTACTTGTTTTGAAATACACCCATGTTATGTGTGTCAATAGTTCATTCATTTTTATTGCCGAGTAGAATTCCATTGTATGAATACACCACAATTTGTCTATATATTTACCAGTTGAGTGACATTTGGGTTGTTTTCAGTTGGGGACTATTTAAATACAGGTGCTCTAAACATTCATATAGAAGTCTTTGTGTGGACATATGTAACTTAGGAATATATTAGGTCACGTAAGTGTATATTTACCTTTTTTTTGTTTTAGAAATTCTGTTTAATTGTTTTCTTTTTTTTGTAAGTCTATTTATTTATTTTGAGAGAGAGAGAGAGAGAGAGAGAGAGAGAGAGAGAATGAGCAGGGGAGGGGCAGAGAGAGAGGGAGAAAGTGAGAATCCCAAGCAGGCTCTGCACCATCAGCGCAAAGCCCAATGCAGGGCTTGAACTCACAAACCATGAGATTGTGACCTGAGCCAAAATTAAGAGTCAGACTCTGAACCGACTGAGCCACCCAGGTGCCACATAGGTGTGTATTTAACTTTTTAAGAAACTGCCAAACTATTCTCTAGTGGTTGTTCCACTTTACATTTCCACCAGCATTGTCCAAGAGTCCCAGTGACTCTGTATCCTCACCAACACCAATTATGAGTTTCGAGTGGTTGTGATTTGGCAATTTTCTCTATTTCTTCTCTTCATCTTAGGCTTGGGTTGCCCAGACAAAAGAGGTGGAGACATAACTTAGCTACTGATGTTTCATTGCAGGGTAGGGGTGGGGAATACAGATTGAGGAAAAACTGGAAGGGAAGCAGGGAAGGAGAGAAAACAAACACAAGGTGGTACATTGCAAAGCTAGTCACGGGCACAAGAAAACACAGGAGGCCACTCAGCCATGGAATGTCTCTGGAGAAGCCATATGGAACTGGAACATCGTGGCAGGGTATGTGATTAAGGAAGGGAGAGGAATTTATCCACTGATGGCTTTCCATCTCTTGTCATTCTTGGTTCAAATTTACCCCCATGGAGCCTTAACTCCCCTGAATGTGTTGTGTGGCCCCTTTGGGCAGCTGCTGGGGAAACCAGATCTGACACCCCAGAGCATAGCGTGGGCATCCCAGGGCACGGTTCTTCATCTGAGTCTAGAAACAAGAGCCTCTGGTTGCCCAGTTAGGTTGGACCAGGACATCTAGGGCATGTGTTTCTTGCAGTGAAGGTAAGGGGAGGCTGTGCTGAAGCCTAGACAGGACTCTGTGGGAGGCTGAGCTCACAGCAGTTGGGAGATGAACTGGCAGTGGGGCCAGCACTGAGCACTGGAGTGGTGCCACAGCCAATGCAGTGGAGCAAACCTGGAGAGATCTGTAAGTTGAGTTGGGTACAATCTTTTGAGATACTTTATGTCTGTTAGCCCCTCTAATCTTTGACATAGCCTTGGAATGCAGGCAGGGATTTATAGACCTGCATTTCAGATGAAGAAAGGTAGGTCTTGCCTAAGCGACTTGCCCGGGATCGTACATCAGGCGGGTGAGACACTTGGGCCTCTGTCTGGACTCAGTGCTCTTTCCACATGCTATACAGATGCCAGATATTCTAAGATGTACATTTTGGAGACTGTGTCTGGTTTGGGACACCGTCAAGAAGACAGAAAAACACATCCCAAATCTCGTGTTGGGGTTTTTTTTTTTTTTTGGCGGGGGGAGGTTTGGCTACTTTGGGGGAGTCAGGCAGCAGGAGGTCCAGATAATGAGACTGCCATGGGAAGGAAGGTGGGGAATCTGGGAGTCTAGTCCTAATTTGTGTGACCTTGGGCCAATGATTTTTCCCCTTGGACCTCTAAATCAGCAAACATTTGGTGAGAATGTATGCACTATGTGCCATACATTGTACCAATTGTGGGGAATATCAAAATGAGGACAATAGTCCTTGTCCTAATGAAATTTCTAATCTGGACCCTCCCCTATGTTCATTCGTCCTGTCAAGTGGGGGAGTCTCTTTCTCCTTTGCCTTGAATCTGGGGATATTGATCTTGAGCTTGAAGAAGCTCAAGAATAATGAGAGATGTAGGATTGGCCATCCCTATCAGCCCAGCTGGCAGTCAGTCAATCCCTAGAAGCAGACACACACAGATCCAGTCAATACTAGAAGAACTGCCTAACTGAGCCCAGCCTGTACTACCAGCCCACAGAATTGTGAGCTAAATAAATGATTGTGGTTATAAGTCACTGATTTTAAGCTGTTTTATTATAAAGCAACAGCTATCCAATACAACATGCAAAATGCTTAGCACAGTAACCACAGTTTAACTAATGGAGATGATGATGATGATGGTCATGGTGGTGGGCAGTATCCATGCTCAGGCCACTGTTGGGAATAGAAGAAAAGGTGGCTTCATGACTCCCAAAGCAGCTCGTGGCATGATATTATTCACAAGAAGAAAAGGCAACAATGACTTGCAGTGGATTTCTACTCACTTATTTATTCTTCAACGTCTTGACCAATTATAAACACCTTAAGCCTGGCTAAGGAGATTTGACTTCATGTCCACTATGAAGATCCACTGACAGATTCTAGGCTGAGAGTGTGGGATAATGACTATTTTAGAAAGATAGTGCAGTAGTCAGAAAGGGTCAGGGAGAGAGACGGCCTGAGGGAGGGAGGAGGACAATGTCAGCCACCTCCTTATGCCTTTTATAGCACCCATGACCCTTAGAATAACTCTGACCCGGGGCGCCTGGGTGGCGCAGTCGGTTAAGCGTCGGACTTCAGCCAGGTCACGATCTCGCGGTCCGTGAGTTCGAGCCCCGCGTCAGGCTCTGGGCTGATGGCTCGGAGCCTGGAGCCTGTTTCCGATTCTGTGTCTTCCTCTCTCTCTGCCCCTCCCCTGTTCATGCTCTGTCTCTCTCTGTCCCAAAAATAAATAAACGTTGAAAAAAAATTAAAAAAAAAAAAAAAAAAAGAATAACTCTGACTCCTCAGACTCCACAGGGTCTGAGGTGCGATTGACCTCTATCTACTTGAATCTTTCTCCCCCGTTCTCACTCTGCTCCACCCACCAATTTCTCTTAGTCCCTTGGACATGCCCTAATTCATCTTCCCTCAGTGCCTTTGTGCATGCTATGCTGTTGCCTTCCTTTCCTTCCTGTGTCACTTGTACTCGTCCTTCAAATTTCTGTAACTCAGATGTCTCTGAATCCTTAATCTAAGCCAGGTCACCCTGAAGTACCCACCAAAAACGCTATGCTTTTCTTCTGTGGCAGTTGCCATGGTTTATACTTGCATGTGTAATATAGGAGTCATGATTCAATGGGTATCTGTCTCCTCCACCAGACTGTGAGCTCTGCTGGGTCTGTCTTGCTCACTGTTGTGCCCAGAGCCTGGCCCAATGCCTGGTGTGTATCAGGCATAAACAAAATGAATATAAAATGAATGGATGCCCTTAAGTGAAAACCCCTTGGGGCAGAATATCCATGCTTACTTAGAATCTCTCTGTCCTGAAATGACAAAAGAGAAAGGAGAGAGAGACCACAATCCTTAGGGCTCTTCTTGGGGACAAATTGGTCTTGCCCTGGAAGTGTCACTCAGGACTCTGGCTCCTGTTTTATAGCCAGAGGACACATTTAATCCAGACAATAAATAATCCATCCCACCAGCCCTCATGGCTGAGCGGAAGGTCCTTAAGGAAAGACCAACACTGATGTAGAACATTGAGTTCCCCAACCTCAAGGACACAGAATTTTCCTGCAGGGTTTTAATCATCTATTTGAACAAGGAATGTTTCCCCAAGCCTTGCTTCATAAACAAGTCTGTGATCAGAGGCAAACAAACAGCCCCTGTGTGGACATCTGACGTCTGGAAGATTTCATCTGGGCAGCAGCAGAGAGACTTCACAGAGAAGCCCACAGAGTTGAAAGCAATGAAAACCTTTGTGGCCATATCCCAGTGTCCCCAAATAGGACAGTCATTGACATCTCTCCCCTTCCTTTTGAAGAATTCCTTTTTGTAATTGGAGCTCCTGGCTTATATACAGCTATTTGTGGGTTTATGTGCCCCTATCTTTCCATTTCTCCTACTAGACCTTTTATGAGGGCAAAGGGCAAGGATAGATCTCATTCACCCATTGTTTTCCTACCCATACATTGCTCAATGCTTGGCACAGAGCTGGCCCCATAAATGTTTGCTGATTGGATAAGCAGTGGTGAAAGGTTGAGTTACAAGTGGGATGGAGAGAGGGCAAACAGTCTGAGAATGGGTTCGTGTATACAAAAAAAGGTAAAGTTAAAAGCCTAGTGGAGAAATGGAGTGGAGGCTGATGAGACTGGGAGTCCCTGAATCAAGCCATGCCCGAAGATTTGACCATCAGTGGAGTTTTCAGTCATTTGTGCCAGAATATTCCCTTTGTTGACTAATCCATGTCCACAGAAAGACTTTATATAAACATTCACAACATCTGTATTCTTAACAGCTAAAAACTAGAAACAATCGAGATGTCTATCAACAGGTGAATGAATAAACCAATTGAGAGATAGCCGTAATTCATAGAACAGAATACTATTTGGCAACCCAGCAATAAGAGGATTGAACTACTGATGCAAACAGCAATGTAGGTGAATCTCATAGACATTATACTGAACCTGATAAGCCAGATTCAAAGGACTACATACTGTGTGATTCTATTTAAAGGAATTTTGGGAATGGCTTAACAAAACTATAGTGAAATGATTCAGATGAGTAGTCACCTTTGGAGAAGTGGGAATTGACTGGAAAGCGAGGTGAAGGAACTTTCTGGGGAACTGGAACTATTTTATATCTTGATCTGGCTGGTAGTTCCATGCATGTACATATATGTAAAAACCATCAAGCTGTGCATTTTAGATGCATGCATTTTACTGTATGTAAAGTATACCTAAATTTTTTTAGGCATTGGTTTAGATTCTCTCTGAGGTCCTTCTAATTCTCTTGTGTTTAGGGTTCTGGGATAGAGTATGGGTAATTGTTCCCAGTTTCTGAGTTCCTTTGGTGTCCTGTAGCTAGAAGGGCACTAGCATAGGAGTGCAGAGATCTGGGCACTGGCCAGGCAGAGTCGTAGGGGTAGAGACTGAGTAAAAGCAGAGGAAGCCAGTGGGTAGCAGGAAGAAGAAGCAGATGCACAAAAAGAACGGAGAGAGAGAGAGGAAAAGAGAAATGAGAGACAGATAAAGGGAGGCAAAGAGAAGGCAAGGAGACAGAGATCTAGAGAGTGAGACAGAGAGAGGGTCACAGAAAGACAGAGTGACAGCAGGAGACTAAGAGAGAGACTGAGAGACTAGAAGGAGTGCCAGAGACCCAGAAAGGGGGAAAGGGGGAAGGAAGGAGAGAAGAGGAGAGGGAAAGAGAGAGGGAGAGAGAGGGAGAGAGAGGGAGAGAGAGACACCGACCCAGGGGGAGATAAGGAAAGGAACGTAGATTACCATATGTGGCCCCAGTGAGGTAGCCATTTTGCCTTTTGCTGGATTTCACCACTCACTGCCTCCTCCCTATAGGGACCACTGAATGCCACACTTGTCCTTGAACCTCTGCAACCTCCAGCTGTGCCTGCTGACAATGAAGACCTGCTGCCTTTGTGCTGACTTCCTTGTTCAGCCCTGAAAGTCCCCCCAAAGCTGTGTGACTATTCTTTCTTTGTGTACCAGCCTTACCCCAAGGACGGGAGTGTCCAGAGGGCAGGGACTTGCTGTCATTATGAGCATCCTCCAGTCTTCCACACTTGTGCCCAACAGGCATGAGTCAACTGGGCACGTTGATGCATCAGTTCATTTTTCCTACCAGGAAGCATTCAGGGGTGTTGCAAGATGCTTATACCTTTCAGTTTTGTTTGGGACAGTGGCCCCAGCCCCTGAGCCAACCCCATTAGGTTCTGGTTGTAGGGCTGGCAGAAACTGGTAGGGGCACTGTCTGCCCCCTGGGGAATTGTGCTGTTATACAGGACAGTAGGAGTGGTGAAATCAGGAAGCCCAGGTCAGAAAGCAATGAAATGCTGGCCAGAACACATGGTCCTAAAAGGGAAAATCAATCACACAGTGGGCTCAGAAGATTTCAGAAAGTGGACCTTGAGGGGAACCTGGGTGGCTCAGTTGGTTAAGCGTTTGACTCTTGATTTCAGCTCAGGTCATGACCTCACGGTTGTGAGGTGGAGCTCTGTGTTGGACTCTGTGCTGACAGCATGGAGCTTGCTCAGGATTCTCTCTCTCCCTCTCTTTCTGTCCCTCCCTTGATCATGCTCTCTCTCTGTCTCAAAATAAATAAAAATTTAAAAGAAGAAGAAAGAAAACGGAGCTTGCTTGGGCAAGAGGTGCAGGGCTAAGACTGAATTAAGCAAAGGTGTAGGAGGGTCTCTTGAGGTTGGTGTGCTGGAAAGACCCGTGGGCGGACATGGTGTGTGTCTGTTACATAATTTCCCAATGGTCATTGAACTTGGGCCGAGCACCAAGACCAAGATCCTCCTTCCTCCCCCTTCCTTCCAGGCAGCCAGAAAGCCCAGGGTCTCAGCTGAGTGGATTAACTACTAAATCATCACATAAGAAGCCCAACTTAAGACTTAGGGGATGGCACCAAGTCTGGATTTTGCTAGAACTTCTCTCATCCACTGCCAAGACAGCTTCCTTTGAGGACGGCCCTAACCACATGTCGGCCATGCCTCACTTTGGTGTCAGGATGGCTGTGCCCGCAGCCCCTTCTATGGACTGACACTTGCCTGACAGTCCAGCCCTGAGATCTGGGATTTTCCATCTTTTTGTTCCCAGATGGCCCCATCTGAGGCCCTAGACCTTTAGGAATGTGTTTTGCCTAGGTCCCAGGGGTGACACTAATGAGTTCTGAGTTCCCTTCCGTTCTCTCTGGCTGGGATGTGGTTCTGAGTGTGGGTGGAGGAATGCTTGAGTGTGGTTCTTGTTTGCATCTTTGGAAATCCTTTGGCAGGAAAGGAGGCCAGGACTCAGTGTCTATTCTAACAGGAGCTGCTTTGGGGGTTCTAGTCGACAGGGAGGTGGGTCTTTGAAGAACTGGGGAGGAAGAAGAGTTGGTTTTTGTTTCTACTCCAACCCCTACTTTTGTTTCATGCCATTGCATTGCCTCTCTTAGGGGTAGTTAAAATCTTATTTTTAAGCAGGTTTCTGGTCCACCACCCATTTATTGTGTGGCCTGGGGCCACCTACTGTGCCTCAGATACCTCACCTGGCTGTGCTGCTTCCAGCTTAGTGATTCGAAGCTTCTCTGAGCTCTAAACCTGCCAGTCTCTGAAAAGAAACCATAATTATCCTCACTTTCCAAAAACAAAGGACAAGAGCCGATGTGCAATTGGTTATCCCTTCTTCCCCAACGGTGAGCATGGTTTCTCAGCAGGCAGAATTAGCATGATGGTCTCCCAGGCTGTAGAGAGGAAGAAATACAGTAAGAAGCTTGAAAGGATTTGCAAACTGAAATAAGCAATGCAAATATTTGCACTAATACCTGCCCCCAACCTGTCCCAAGTATCACATGCTGTATCTTATTTTTTTTTATGGTTTTGCTCTGTGTGTGTATGTTGGTGTGTGTGTTTGGCACATGTGTATTGGTGTGGCTGTGTTTTGTGTGTGTGTGTCAATGTGTGTCTGTAGGTGGAGTCAGTGAGCTACTGCATGTAAAGCCCGGGTCCTAGAACATAGTATATTCTCAGTAAATGTGAGTCGTTATGAAAGCTTGGAACTTCTGTTTTCCTTTGTTTTTAACCCTATTTTTTTTTTTTTAATCAAGGTATAACACTCGGTAAAGCGCACAAATCTTAGCTGTAGAGCATGATGGATTTTTGCATGTGTATACATCCACGTGGCCACCACCCAGATCAAAAAATGGGGTACTGCCAGCTCCCAGCAGCTTCCCTGTAGCATCAGTGTCCACTTTCCTTTACTTAAAGTTTCCTTATTTATTTTGAGAAAGCGAGAGAGAAAGAGAGAGCGCACGAGCACATGCTCGTGCAGGGGAGGGGCAGAGAGAGAGGGAGAGAAAGAATCCAGAGCAGGCTCCTACTGTCAGCGCAGAGCCCAACGCGGGGCTCGAACTCACAAACCACAAGATCATGACCTGAGCCGAAGACAGATGCTTAACTGACTGAGCTGCCCAGCACCCCCAGTGTCCACTCTCCTGACTTCTATCATCTTAGATTGGTTGTCCATGGTTTCAGACTTCACATAAATGGAGCCATACAGTATACACTCTTCAGGTCTGGCTTCTTCAGTTCAACATAGTGCCTATGAGATTCATCCATATTTAGCAGAGCTTTTTTCTTTTAACTTCCAGTGTCGTGCGGCATTGTCCAGACTTAGCATGTACTCATCCCTTCTCCTGTTGGTGACCATCCCATCCGTTTCCAGTTTGGGCTGTCATGAGTAAAGTTTCTGCAAGCAAGGCTTTCGTGGACATAAGCACTGATTTTGGTTGGGTATCTACCCAGAAGAGAATTTCCTAGGTCATAGGGTATCTGCATCTTTGCTTTTAATAGATGCTGCCAAACAGTTTTCTGAAGTGCTTTTAGGTTACTCTCCAAACAGCAATAATCGAGAGTTCCAGTTGCTTCATATCCATCTACATCCTCACTGTCACAGTTGGCTTCTCCAGAGGCAGGTGCTGTGATGGAGTCGGGGTTGCAAGGTATCTGTTAGGGCTCAGCACCTGTGAAAAGAAAGGGGAGGAGCAGAATTGGACAGAGGGAGAGAAGCTGATCTGCGGTGCGGGCCAACAGAGCCCCAGTCAACCCAGCAGGGAGCCCCGGGGTGAGCACTGCCCACCCCAGTGACTACTTTGGTGGAAACAGCAGACCTAGAACCCTGCCTCACTCAGTCCCTGGATGTGGACTGCTGCGGGAGGGCCATGGCCCCAGGCAAGGCAGTTCTCCAGAGCAGAAGCAGGTGTTGAAGGAGCTGACAGCACTCCCTATGACCGGTCCCCAACCCTCCCTCGAAGGGAGATCTCTCTGAGTCCAGCACATACACACTAGTCATGGGGGAGAGAGGGTGGTGATAGTGTCCTACTGAGATTTTAATCAGCATTTCCATGATGACTCATGTTGCTGTTGCACTTGTTGGCCTTTCGGATATCGTCTTTCGTACAGTGCCTATGCAAGTTTTTGCCCATTAAAAAAAATTGAGATGTTTGTTTTTTCTTATTAATTTATAAAAGTTCTGGATATGAGTTACTTTTCATACATATACTGCAAACATCTTTTGTCAATCTGTTTTGTTTAGGAAATCTTTTCCTATCCTATAGGGTCATGAAGATATTCCTGTCTTTTTCTTTTTCTAGAAGATTTATCATTTTTAGATCTATGATCCATCTCAAATTCATATTTGTATTTGGTATGAGTTAGGCTTTTTTTCCCCCATATGGAAATCCAATTGGGCTAATGCTACTCAATGAAAAGATCATCTTTCCCCCACCGAATTGTAGTACATCTTTACTGTAAATCAGCCGAAGGAATATGTGTTTGTCTCTTTCTGGGCTCCTTATTCTGGCCCATTTGACGGGATTATGCTGTGCCACACTGTCTTACTGCCTGTGGATTTATAAAAACTCTTAACATCTGGTGGTGTTAAGTCCCCCAACTTTTTTTTTTTTTCTGAGATCGTCCTTACCTATTCTAGGTCCTTTGAATCTCCATATAGATTTTAAAATCAACATGCGTTTCCTCAAAAATACCTGCTGAGATATTGATCTACATTGGGCTTACATTGACTGTATACATCTATTTGGGGAGAATTGATATCTTAACATTAAGTTGGCCAATCAGTGACTATCGTGTAATTCTCCACTTAGACCTTCTTCAGTTTATCTGCAAAGTTCTGTAGTTTTTAGCATAGAGATCTCATACCTCTTTCATTAGATTTACTCATAAATATTAGATGATTTTAATATTATTATAAATGATATTTAAAGTTTTTCATTTTCTGGTTATTGCTAGCATATAGAAATTCAATCAATTTTTACATGTTGATTATATTCAGCAACCTTACTAAATATACTCATTCTAATAGTTTGCAGATTATTTGGATTTTTCCATATACAACATTGTCATCTGAAATAATACAGTTTGTAAGTTTCCTTTCCAATCATGGTTTATTTTTATTTTTCTTGCCTTATTGAAATGACTGGGTCCTGCCATACAATGTTGGATAGAAAAGTTAGTGGTGGACATCCTTTTCTTGATCCTATACTTAGGAGAAAAACATTTAATATTTCACCATTAATGATGATGTTAGGTGTGTGTGTGTGTGTGTCTGTGTCTGTCTGTCTGCCTGTCTCTGTGTGTATCTGTATGTTTGGCAGATTCCCTTTATCAGATTAAGGAAATTCTATCTGATACTCTTTTCTGAGAGTTTTTGTCATGAAAAGGCACTGAATTTTAATAAATACTTTTCTGTATTGATTTTAGCTCACATCTACAGATGCAGCTTTCAAACGCTGGAAAGTGGTTTGTGACTGATGTCAGGCCAGAGGGTTTCTGGGGGAGCTGGGCCCCTGTGGGGGCTGGATGAGATGGCTGCAGGAGGGCAGGAGTGTGAGGTGCCCTGAAGAGACAAGTCAGTGACATGTGTGATCACCCATCTCAGCCCTGATGGACTCCTGCTCTGCTCGTTCCCAGCAAGCACTTGGGGTCTTTTTCTGAATGGAAACTAGACCCTTTTATAGGACCCTGTGCCAGGCACTATGTGAGGCCTCACGGGGGAACACATGACCCAGGTGCTCCAGGGCCTTCGGGTTTTGCCACATGTCATGTCTTCATGCAGTTCTTAGGAGGAACTAGATTTGGACTAGAACCAGGGGGCCTGTGTCTCTCTCCTTTCTTCCGCAGCATCTCCCTGCCAGTCGCCAAAGGCTCTTGGGAGCAGCTGGACTGTGTACAAGCGGGGAAAGAGCAATGGAAAATGCATCAGATGATCCCCACCCTCACCCATTTCGTCCCCTGCCTAGTTGTCTTGTGGATATTTGGCCTTCCCAGTGCGGTCTGGGAAGACTTAGAAAGTTTCCTTCCAGAGCCCCAGGAGGCCAAGAACGGGAGCTGCCCCAGGCCATTTCTGTCCCTGGGTCTCCTTTCAAAGGATTTCTGGATAGATGA